AAAATGCATTGCACAATTTAACAGACCTACTGAAAAGTGCTACATACCAACAGCACAACAGAAGTTGTGTCATGCAACAGAACAGGAAACCTAGGCAAAGCAAGAGCACAACCTGAAGTCCTCATACCTCCAAGCTTTTTTTTTTTTTTTGCCTTTTTTAACAAGAATGAACTCCATTCACTTAAACCACATTTAAATACACGGCTAGAAGAAGAAAAGGAACAATTAATAAATTGTATTATTAACTAAAAGGCTTGCTCCTAACATTGATACCTTTTGATTCAACATCTTATTCATGTTCAGATATAAAAGCAGTTCAGACAACCACAGAGTGGTTTGGGTTGGAAGGGACCTTAAAGATCATCTAGTTCCAACCCCCCTGCCGTGGGCAGGGACACCTTCCACTAGACCAGGTTGCTCCAAGCCTCATCCAGCCTGGCCCCGAAATGCATACAAGTCATTCCATGATATACCCAAGATGTGTTTCTTTATCACTGAATCAAGTTTATGGATCAATCTACAGTTCTGTACTACCACTTCTGCTCTAACACAGCACGTGAGCATGAAAACCAACAAAGAATGAAACAGAAAGACAACTTGAGGCCTTAACTGATGTTGTGGGAACATTATTTGGGCCCTAGGAAAGAACCCCCCACCAAAAGAAATTCTCTCCTCTGAAACTCGTGTATAAATTGAGGAGGAGTAATAGGAAAATTCCTGTTGTCTCACCTAATCAAAAAACCTCCTAAAAGTCACCAACAGTTGTCCACAGTGCTCTGAGATCAGTATGACCGAATCCTTACTGCACCTAAACCAGTATCATCAGCCTTTGGATTTTGGGCGTTTTGCCATGCAATAAAGGTGGAAAGGAACCAAAAAAGAAAGAAAAAGTTCAAAACAGTTAACAAACCATTCTATTTCCAGCAACATCTTCTAGTTGGCAACATCGAGGCACGAATTATCCACTCCGGAAACAAAGACAGTGAAATAGCTTTCAAATAATTTGTACAAAAGCATCATCTTACTGCATGTTTCTGCAGTGAGCTTCCCTCTACTGCTCTCAAACTGCTCTTCAGGAGTTTTGGGCTTTAAAAGGAAACAAAGATTTAAGATAAACAATATAAAATTTACCTGCCCCTCTCACCTCTACCACACATGCATACACCCACTCAAGGGAACGTAAAAAACCTCTGAAGACACAAAGTAAAGGGATGTTATTTTCCAAAGCAACTGGACAGCCCTTTGTCTTTTCCAGCGATTCCAGATGTAGAGATTTAAACATTTGCATATTTACAGGTTTTCTGTCAAACTTCTGGTACGACAGTATGTGCGTCTGCGTACACAGGAGGGGAGGATGGTAAGTCAGCAGGA